TAACCAAAGACACCGTGTGTATTTGTGACTCTTGCGTTTAAACATTGCAATCTTTCAGAACAAGAGAGTCAGCATAAACAAGGATGAACTCAAGTCAACTTCAAAAGCCATCGAAACTGTCCACAATCTTTGTTGCAATGAGAACAAAGGAGCATCAGAGTTGGTTGCAGAGCTGAGCACTCTCTATCAGTGCATCAGGTGAGCAGAGAGACTGGTCCCAAGCTTTAGTTGTTGGAAAGAAGGCATTATTTAGGAGAGGCAGTACTGCTAAAGGAAGTGCCTTTGTGGGCTACTCTGTGAGAGCATCCTTGCTGTAGAATAGGTGAAGATGTGGTCTGAAAGCAGCTTTCAAAATTGTACATCTGACTTGAGAATCTCTGTCATGAGGACATAGATTCTGGCTTCTACTGACAATTTGTCCTTCTCATGTCACAGAATATGCTTTTCTCTGCCACTGGAAAAAGATGACGCTACTTTGTCTTACTAATAAAGCTTTCCTAGCCGTAGATGTATCCTTTCTTCTCCTCCTAAAAGTATGAATAAACAAACTTTTGTTGCTTTTTTTTTTCCTTGCATTTTGCGCTGAGCAGGGAGTGTCTTTGTAGAAAAAATTTTCCTCCAGTGTATCTTTTTTAAAAATTTTTTTTTTTTTAAATTCTTGATATACTGGCAGTTTTTCAAACAAAACATTTTTGAGCTTTATTAATACTGCTGTAAATTAAACTGAAACTAGCAACCATTAGAATATACTAAAAGATTTTTTTTTTTTGGTGTTGGCTTTTGGTTTCGTTTTGTGGTTGGGTTTTTTTGGTGGCGTGGGGTTTTTTGGTTTTTGTTTTTTTGGTGCTCCTGTGATCTCTTCCGTAGGTTCCCAGTGGTGGCAATGGGTGTCTTAAAGTGGGTGGATTGGACAGTGTCAGAACCACGATACTTCCAGCTGCAGACTGATCACACTCCGGTTCATCTGGCATTACTGGATGAGGTAAAAGCATATATAAAATCTTGCTAGAGAGTAAAAACACTTTTGATGCTTGTAACTGGAAGTACATCCAGTTCACTGGATGCCTAACATGTGCAGTATTGGTAAATATACAGAGGTTAATCTGTTTCTGTTCAGAGTTAATTATTTGGTTTTGTTATCTCAGTATTACTTACACTAGGAAAAATTAATCATCAAAGAAACAGGGGAATACTTTTCTAAAATAATTTACATCTGGCACTGAACATGTAAACTTGTCTAATAAAGACTGGTGCGCTGGTTTTTAAACTGAAGTTCTGAGGATCTAACTTTCTTTGCCTTGTTTGCAGATCAGTACATGCCATCAGCTGCTTCATCCCCAAGTTCTACAACTTCTTGTCAAGCTCTTCGAAACAGAACATTCACAGCTTGATGTGATGGAGCAGGTGATTCTCAAAGGATTTAGTATTTGTGTTCCTTCATATTAGTTACGCTTATTCAAGATAACAGCTTTTGCTGCCACAGGAGTTTTAGGAGTTTAATTTAGGAATATGGTCATGGTTAAAAAGTAACATAGCAGATATTGAATCGAGGAGAATGAGCAATAAAATTGCATGAGTTTGAGAGGAAGTTCTAATCTGTTGGTTTCTTCTCTTCCCCCTCCACCTGCCTGACCCCTGCCATCAGCTGGAACTGAAGAAGACTCTCTTGGACAGGATGGTGCACTTACTCAGTCGAGGATATGTCCTACCTGTTGTCAGTTATATCCGCAAATGCCTGGAGAAGCTAGATACAGATATCTCTCTCATCAGATATTTTGTTACAGAGGTCAGTAGCAAAAATAGGGGTTTTTAAATTCATTGTCAAATTACTAACATATAGAAATAAACCTTAATATCAGGTGTATGTGTTTGGATATTATTATTAAGCTTGCCTCAGCTTCAAAAATATTTTAAGATATGAGATCAGATTTTGAGCAACATATGTAATACCAGTATTCACGAGGATGTGGCTTGGTCCTACTGACGCCTAACGTCTGGAAGTATTAAGGTACTGGGTAGGGTACGACAAGAATACATAATTAATTATTTGTATAGAGAACAAGAGGTCTTAAGTGCAACTACTTGTACGCTTTCAAGACTAGTATTGTGAATTAAATATTGTCCCTGCTACCCGTCTAGCTGGAAGAGTAATCCACTTCTGTTTGCTCTTTCAGGTGCTGGATGTGATTGCTCCTCCATATACCTCTGACTTTGTACAGCTTTTTCTTCCAATCTTGGAGAATGAAAGTATTGCAGGTACTATTAAAACAGAAGGTGAACATGATCCTGTCACTGAGTTTATAGGTAAGTCACATTTATTCATTGCATAGCTGCTTCCTTTTGTATTCATTACAATTTGCAAATAATGTTTAGGAGGAGGATTGCTGAAAATAGGAATGCCTGCCAGATATTTTCACAGACAACTTCCTTTTTAGAGGCTTGTGTTTAGCAATTTTCCTTTAATCAAGAATCTCTGGGTAGTAGTAAGGAACTTGGAGACAAATACTGCTTTTTGAGAACTGGTGCTGTTTTAAGGAAAGGATAGGAAGGGAAGTAGTCTGTTGTAATGCATTCCTATCCTAAAACAAAAACATTTGTCCAGATCCTAAAATCCTAATCATTTTCATAACGCAGAAATCCACTTGCAAAGAGATAAATCAGAGTAATATACTGAACACTTTCTTTCTTTTTTCTTTTAAGCTCATTGCAAATCTAACTTTATTATGATGAACTAAGCTGTGGAAAATATCAAGAATGCAGAGCATACGATCACTACTTTGCTATGTTCTCCACCAGTAAGGTTCTATGACTGGGCGACACAGCAGCAGAAAAACCCCACAAAAAGCCAAACCAACCAACCCAAAACAAGGAAGCAAGGGCTGAAGGGTGTTTGATTGACGTGTGTGGTGGCCTAAGCTTCATATCAGAGGACTGTTAATGTACTTTGGAAAATGGAATAGTACTGAAGGATTTTCTGTTGTTACACACATTGGTATAAATCTGAATATTCTGAAGGGGATAGCAGGAGAACACATTCAAAGAATGTTATTTTGGTTACTTGCAGAATTTGTCACCAATTCTTTGTGTAATATACAAAACCTGAAGAATGGGGAAGGTAGTTCCTACAAAAAACACTTTGCAGGTGGTTCTTTGAAGATTAAATCTTGAATGCTCTAGTTTCTGATGTTGCAAGTTGGAAAAAAAACAAAAACAACTTGTGTGGTTAGCTCCATGGTGCAGAAAAGCCACACTGCCTCTTTCTTACCTTTACATTAGAATTATAAATATCCTATGTATGTACTGCTATGAGGAAAAAAAACGTTTTGTGTTGCACAACTAGAGTTGTAACAATCAAGGTTAGTTTTGTGTTAACAGATGAATCTTACATGAGCGTGCTATCTTTCAGAATCAATTTTTTGTTAAATAGATGCATCAAATGTTACTGGTAAGTTTCATTACCACGTCAGAGTTCTACTGCTGTCCAAAAACATGAATGTGTGCAGAAAATTCATTACTGCTTGTTGTGGCTTGGTTTTCATACTGATGTCTACTCTGTCCTGGTTGATGCCAAACAGGGGGGATACACCGAAGATTACAGTTTACCTTTAAATAAGGGTTTTTTATTTTCCTGAGATTTCTTTCCAAGTTTCACTAAGACCATTCTTTCTTTCTATTCTTCGGGATGGATTTCTCTTGGTACAGACAAATACTGTTTGTTTAAGCGTGAGGGGTATAAACAAAGCCCATTGTGCTTTTCCCAGCACATCTGCTTTCTGAAGAACCTGCTTTCTAAAAGACGGGGCCATTTTAAGTCCAACTGGATGTAAATTTAAAATGGAAATAGCTTTTTTTCTTCTCTGGCAGTAGTGATTCAGGAAGGGGAACCGTGATAATTCTAGAGACAACAACCAATTCTTAAATCCTTACAGAAAGGAACAAATCTTCCCTTTTGCCAGCTGGTCCCTCCTGTACAGATGATAGAGACAGTTTCTGGAAATAATTTTTTTCTTCTACACCACTAAAAAGCTTTAACTTACAGGTTTGAGTGAGGCATAATTCACAGGTTGGTTTGATTAGGTTTTGGAGACTGACATTCTAAAGTGGTGTGTTCTGCAACACTGGAGTGTCTCTTCCCTCTTGCTTGTTGAAAGTGGATGCTTTGTTGTAGCTTGTATCTTAATTCCCAGTGGGGGTAGACCTAGTGTAATTTAACTTGAATTGTTTGAGCCATTGTAGTTGCTCCGTAGGGTTGTCAGCCCTTTCAGAAGAGGTCCAGTAAAGCAGCAGTATGATCCTGCATGAGCTTTGGGTGGAGCTAGCCTGCCATGAGACAGCTTGTTAGATGTTTTCAGTGGCTTTTATTGCTGTACCTATTAATAACCACTTATAATACACATAGTCACGTAAGAGAAAAATGTCTATTTATTAAATTCAATTAACAATGCCAATTAGTAACACTTGATATGGCACTGATTTGCCACTTAGCAACTGGAAGAATTTGCTTCTTTTCTTCAAATTAGTGAAGACTACTGGCATCTTCTGGCTTGTGGCAATTTATACTTTGCCTCTTCAGGAGAAAAATGGCACAGGTCATCCAATATTAAAGCAAGGAATTTGAGCAAAGACTAATTAAATAACTAAAAAGTGTTTAGACTTGTCTCTTGATCAAAGTAATTCCTGGTGTATCATTTTGGTTGAATAAAAGCAACTGTGTTATGAGACTTCCAACACTGCTTCAGCAGGGTGCCACAGAAATGGCAGGGCATTTAGTTTTTTAATAGATCATGACCAGACCTAGCTTTTTTTTCCATCTGCATCATTGTGAGCTAATATTGCTCAATACTACCAAAGAATTGAATATAAGCTCTAGACCCAAATATTGAGTATATTTTTTCCTTCCCAGTATGTCATTTGTATTTTAAAAAAAGATTTACATATACCATTTCTCTGATTAAGCCAATAGGATTTAAATACTATGCATCAAGGCAGACAACTTTTTCAGGGGTAAATTATTTTAAGTTGTAAATAATTACCTAAGGCAGCTCTATTTATTTTACTTTGAAGACATTGTGTGTTGGTATCTGGCATAATTTTGCAGAACTGCCTGCTGGTGTTAAACTGTGAGAGTTTTAGACTATTCTTTAAACAGAAGGTTGTGCTGGGAAGCTGCCAAACCAAAGTAGTTCATAAACAGAAAGATGTACAATATAGAATCAAGGAAGTATAACATCTCCATATGCACAGTCTGTTTCGATAGCAAGATTGTACTCTGCTCCTCTTCCACCTTTATATCCACTTGTGACAATTCTCAGCCATCCTCTTTCACCCTGTAAAGAATTAATTTGCATTGTGAATTAGAAAACATAACTACAGAAAATGTGTGCTGTTGAGTCTCTTCTGTCTTACAAAAATGAATGATTTTAAGCAAATCTAGGATTTTGCTCAAGATGGAAGTATAACACTGGGTTCACAGGGCAGCCTTGTTTAAAGGGGCAATCTGCTTTGGTGATTTATATCCTCCTCACATACCAGGTATGTGACTTGATTTTTGCCTACAACTAACAGTAATTTATGGTTGCCCACACCAGGAGCTGCAGGTCCATGAAATTACATCTGCAATTGAGTTGACACTCCACAAGTAACTTTTGGCTGAATATCCTTGTCTTCAGATCAGTTAGGCTTCATCTTTTAATTGCTAGTCTAGTTCAAAGAAAGCTTTACGTCTCCTATCCACAGGCTACCTTTGCAGCTTCCTGTTTGCAAGGGGAAAACCCCACCCTTCCTCTAAAGTCATTCCACAAACGTGTTTTTTCCCATGTTTCCTTACCCAGGGTTCACCCCATGAGTTACGAACAATCCAGTATTCCGTTCCATTTTCTACGCCCCAGCCAGCCACAGAGACAATGTGATTCACCTCAGGCGAGGGGTTGTACTCTGTATAAAGTCCTCCAGTGTAAGCATCCAACTTTTCAGTAGCCATTATGCCACAGCTGTAACAGAGGAAGCATTCTGATACAAGGGGGGGTCAGGGCAGAGGGCTGGATAGAATACAGTTGGTTTTCTTGCATTTTGAATTCAGAGCTCAATTTATCTGCAAACAAGCTGAAGCCTGCATATTAGTGCAGAGCTACTAAGATAGGCTAGAGTGGAGAAGGACACTTGAGTCATTAGGAGTTTGAAGTATTTCACTCTCAATATTACTAGTAGATAAACATTTTCTTCTTTACAATTTTTTTTTTTTACCTAATTGGTCCATTAGTATAGATTTCTGCCATCATTTTCTCTCTTCCACTGACAGACCCATAGTCAGCAACTTTCCAGAGAGTGTAGTTCTTTATCACATGGCATTCTCCAAAAGTGACGCAAGTTCCACACTGGTTAAACTTCTTACACTCTACAAAACAGAAGTGAGATTATCACTTCAAGAGAATGCTTTTCTTCAGGTGAATTAATTATATCACACTAAGCTTTTTCTCCTTTTAGCTTGAGGCAGATATTAATAACAATTACTAATACATGCTGTCTCTGGTAAGCTAAATTCCTTTTGGGAAACCATGTTTAAAGTCTCCACAGTCACTAATTACTATTGTTTACTTCATAGGTGTAAGTGCTTTGATGAGGAAGTGTTTCAGATGTGCTTCTCTACAGACACAAACTATTCCAGTCATACATGGCCAGAAAAGGGTTACAATTCTTCTTTGTTTAGCTTGAGGTGACACTTGTAAATATTTCAATACATTTGAGATTATATATCACAGGCTGAAGAGATTAAGTTTAAACAATTTAGCTGCGGAAACTTGTCTGGGCGTGATTTAATGCTATGCTGTCTGGCTAGAGTAAGAAGGCACACACAAGCCTGTAAAGAAAACCTGTTCTGTCAGTCAAAGAGCCGGTACTGCACTGGAAGGCAGGAACCAGTACACTGCAAATCCAAAAAAACCTTTAATATATATTAATATCTGCAAAACCTGGGATAAAGCCTTATAGCAAAGCAAATAGGTATCATACTTTGATCTTTAGCTTGGTAGTTGTTGCAGGTCTCATCTGGAATGCCATGGTCATGGGCGTACATCCAAACACCTGAGTGGTCTCCACCTTCACAGGATCCTGCATTGGCGCAGTCAATCACGTTCTGAACAGAGAGGTAGGCAGAAGGCCATGCTCCTTTTCTCTTTATGTTAATTCGATCTGTAAGGATAAGAAACTGGTTTTAATTAATGGAAAATTTGAGTGGTTATATATTGCAACTGGTGTTAAAACTGTCTCTCCTTCCTTGAACCTGTAACTGTTTGTAGGCAACAACATGTGAGGTTGGAAAAGCCTTTACTGTCAGCAGGGAGGCACGTGGCATAATCCAACTCCAACCAGCAGGCTGTTACTATTGTGGGTTTCCATTAGAAATTTTTTCCATTAAAATCTCAAAAATATGCAGATGACTTAAGATATGTTTAAAGCCTTGAAGTGCCCTAGATCTCTTAATTCAAGTCACAGCTTCTGAGAACTTCCAGATCTGTTGCCTGGCTTTGACAGCAAGGAGTTTTCAAATATGCATCACAAAACCAGCTCTCACTAGCCTCTCTTACAGGAGTAAAGATTTATGCATAAACACATGCAGAGAGTCATAAGCCCATGCAGCCCAGGTCTCTGGCTCTCATAAAGAGTCTTCAGAAACTTAAAGCAAGGAAAAGCTTTCAGAAGTATATCCTGCTCTTCTGTTAACAACTCACTGTTATCCTGAGATCTCAGACAGGCATTGCCATCCTGCTGCCTTATTTTGTCAGAAAAGCTTCCTGATAAGTATTTATACCCTGCTGCCTTATTTTGTCAGAAACAACTGCTCACTCGTCAGAAAAGCTTCCTGATAAGTATTTATAAACTGCTTCTCACAGTGCATTAAGTCTTAACTGATGCGACTGTAGTACTTTTAATCCTGTTAGTACTAAAGGAACTGCAAGGCATTATCCTAGCCTAGTCTTGAGCAAGGAGAGGGAATGAACACTTTAACTATTCACAGCAGTTTAAACAAAATATCCTGATTTTAAAAATCAACCTTTTATACGTATAAAGATGCATGTACTGGCATACCTAAATACACCATTAATTTTTAACTATATAATTAAGAAGTCGCTGTATGTTGTCTATCCTAGTACCTCACTACATCATGGCAAGTTTCATACGTGTCTGTATTCCTGTTCTGCTTAAGAACAGACCTTTTGCAGTTTCTGCTGTTTGCTCCCACTGGTGCTGTCTTCCCATTTCTGCACAGTTTTCCCCATTTCTCCTTCACTGTTAGTCCTCTTACAGCCTCCTTATGTGAAAATACTTCTGCAGCATGTTACTGCTGCATACAAATCATCATATATTCTCTTCAGAGAAAATACTTCTGCATGTGAAGCAAACCCCTCCTTCCCTTTTCCCAAGAAGGCTGATAGACATCCGCTCGGACTGGAGCAGTCTATGCTGTGGCAGTCAGTTTATCTGAATGCCAGGGCTCCTGACGCTAACACCCCCGGGCCCTTCCCACACGAGGCATCTTTCACTTCCTCATATCCAGGCATCGCTGCAGCAGATGTAGTGCAGCAGGCTGAGGTACCAAAAAAGGGAAGGAGACACGATAACTGCTTTTGCATCTGCTGCTATGCTCACCACACCTCTAGGAGGGGCAGAAAACCCCGTTCTTACTCCAGTCCCATTGTAGTCTGGCAGGTGCTATGAATCCGTTCCTTCTGCAGCTTTTTAACCATGCCAGTGTTCCCCTGTGTGCAATTTTTGAGAAGGTGGGGACAGGCTCACTCCCATTGCTTTCTCTATTGAAACCAAACCTCCTTGCCTTTAGCTGGGCAATGCCCACTGTTCCTGGTATGTTCAAAGCTGCCTCAGCCTCGTTCTTTGCCGCATTACTCACTGCAGTCATTTGGCATCTTTTCTTTATATCACCAGTTTCCTAAGCTGAAGAGAAACCTCCTTTGCTTACCAAAAACTATAAACCAGGGGGGTAACAGCTTGCACAGCCCTGAGCCCCGCGTACCTGCCAAGGCGCTGGTGCTGCCGTGGGCCCAGCAGGACCCGCAGTACTGGGGGATGTGCTGGTTCCGAGTGGTGCTGGCGTAGTTCACCCCGTTCACGTTCCGCCAGTC